GGACTACATTCTAGTTGCTGCCATAAGGTTGTGTTATTTCTGCTTAAACGACTTAAAAGGATCATATAATTAAACTTTCAAAAAACTGGACACTGACTTCAAAAATTGAGAACTACATAATAATTTACACACAGTATTATACAAAATATTAATGTTGTATTGGGTGCTTAGACAAGGTCAAAATCGATTGAAGAAGCTATGAAATTATGTGATATTTTTAACAAATATTCGTTTCTTTTATTAGTCATCATCACCATTTTATTACGGGTCGTAATAAAATGATGTCAGTTCATAATTATTCATCCATATCCAATAATTATCAATCCTAATATTGTTTTACCACAATAGCAAATCATTAATAATTATTATAAATGACAATTTATGTTTTGCTTAATATCAATACACTAAGTTGAAATTATGAACAATACTGAGTAGTAATAATATAATTGATGCTCGATAACGCAGTTTTTTTTTTATAGGATCGGGTGACAAACGAGCATACAGTCCACCTGATGATAAGTGGTTACTGTGACCCATAGACATCTACATCTATCCTCAATAAAGACTCAAGATGCAGATGCGTTGTCACCCGTGAGGACTAAGATGGAATGCCTTTTTGCCAGTAAAAAGGGTCTCCGGTTCTCTACACTCACCATACGAAACACAGCAGCGTTAAGCTGCTATTTTACGCTGGTTTTCTGTGAGAGCGTGGTCCTTCCCCAGTCGAACCGACCCATTCGTGCTACAACCATAATATAGCTGCAGCATGGCTCTACAACTATGCAGTACAAACAATATAGATTTCTCTATTATTTTTCTTCACTTTTAATAAATATGAATTGTTTGACGACTCATTTAGTAAAATCGGTCTAATAGGCTGCTACAGTTAAACATAAATACATATAAACATAGAATTTCAAGTGCAGAACACTTCGTATAAATATTTGTAATCGGTTAAAAAAAAGATTGAAAGTGACAACGCTTGGTTGTAACAAAATAATAATAATAATAATATATTTATTTGCTTAAACATGGTATGAAAAGGTTTTACAAATAATATACAATTGAGCAACATGTTTTGCTACAGTTACATATAGCATGCAAAAGTTTTGTTTTGTACATTAAGGGTTATGATTAAAAAAGTCTATAATGCTGTAGAAATTATTCTTAGTTAGGTATTCTTGTAATTTAGATTTAAATAATTTAGTATTTAATATTTTTAGATCATTTGGTAACTTGTTATAAATACGTACACACATAGATAGACAACTTTTATTATATTTACTTATTCTAGGTGTGTTACTTAAAATGAGCTTGTATGGATTTCGTCGGTTTCGAGGATTTGCATCATTTGCCGTGTTAAATAAATATTTATGCTTCCATACGAACATGCATATTTCATAAATATAAAGACACGGGAAGGGTAATAAGTCAAGTTTTTTAAACATCTGTTGACATGAATCAGTTGGTTTAAGCCCACATATTGCTCTGATGCATTTTTTTTGTGCACTAAATGCTCTATTTTGATCCGTGCTTTTACCCCAGATTATAAGTCCATAGCGCATTATTGACTCTACGTATGCATGGTAGGACAGAACAGCCGTTTTTATGTTTGTAACGTTTTTTAAATGTTTAAGGGTGTATGCAAACTTATTTAATCTCGTAGATACATTGTTTACATGCAATTTCCAGTTTAAATTTTCGTCTATAGTTATTCCTAAAAATGTTTTATTTGTTACTGCTTTTATTTTTGGTATGTTAAGATTAAAATTATATTTCTTGTTATTACATTTATTGAATTGTAAATATACAGAATTGTCAAGATTTATTTTCAAATTGTTTATGTCAAGCCAATCAATTAAATTATCTATAGTATTATTTATGCCAGTCTCGTGGTCATTAATAGTATTACATTTTTTATTAGAGGTCACAATTATTGAAATGTCATCCGCGAATAATACGCATTTATGATTTGTTACATTAACAATGTCATTTATATATAATAGAAATAAAATAGGACCGAGCACACTTCCTTGTGGAACGCCATACCTATTGAATCTATATTTAGACGAATACGGTATGATATCCTTATTTTCATCTAATTTCATGACCGTAACACATTGCTGTCTGTTACTTAGGTACGAGTATGAAGATATCCATTGAAGAGTATGTCCTCTAATCCCAAGCTTTTCGAGTTTTTGTAGCAGGAGGTCGTGTGACACCAAGTCAAAAGCTTTAGATAGGTCGAAAAATAGCCCTGTAGTTAAATTATTATTGTTTAAATTTTCCAGTATTATTTTTAGGAGAGAAAAAATGGCCAACGTTGTAGATTTGTCTTTTTGAAATCCGTATTGTTCGTTAATTATAATATTATATTTGTTGCAGAATTCGATTATTCTTTTGTACATACACTTTTCATATATTTTGGACATAATAGGTATCAACGTTATTGGGCGATAATTGTTGACTATATATTTCTCTCCTTTTTTAAACAGTGGTTTAACAATGGATAACTTAAGTGCATCTGGAAAAGTTCCACACGAAAAAGATAAATTTATTAAATGAGTCACGATTTCTATAATTTCGTTGATACAAATTTTTATAATTTTTGTACCTATGTCGTCATAGCCCGCAGAATTAGTATTTTTTAATGACATTGTCTCTCTTTTAACTTCGTCTTTCGACATAGGTTTGAGAAACATAGAGTTAATATGATAACTGTTACTTAGTAAGTTTTTTCTTTTTGTGTGTGTTGTTTCGTGTGTTGAATTAATGTAGTGATTCTTAAACGCAGAGGCTATTTCTATCGGTTTCGTGATAACTGCGTTATTAATTATAATTTTTTCTATGTTGTTTTTGCTATGTAAGCTACCTATTTCCTTTTTAATAATGTTCCACGTGGCCTTACACTTGTTGTCATTGTTATTAATAAATTTTACGTTGGAATTTTTTTTTGAATTATAAATACATTTTCTTAATAATTTGGAATATGTCATATATTTTGCTTTATTAACAGCATTTGTATTTCTATAGTATTTATATCTTAAGATTCGTTTGGTTTTAGAACTTATTTTAATTCCTTTACTTATCCAATTTTGTTTCTTATTACTATTTATATCTACTTTAATTCGTACTTTTGGAAAACAAAGATTATAGAAAAGACAAAATAAGTCATGAAAGCTACTGAAAGTGACGTTAGCATCATTTGCCGTATACGCTTCAGACCAATACATTTTTGTAGACATTCTTTAAATTTCCTAATATTATCTAAGTTGTAATCTCTTTTGTAAATATAGTATATCGCTTGCTTTTGTATATCATGTTTTAAAGGAAAGCTTAACAATTGTGCTGTGTCGTGATCAGATAGATAAAGTGGTAACACTGTTGCAGCTGCATCCGGAATATTACTCAAAATATGATCGATGCAAGATGACTTACGGGTAGGTACATCAATGTGTATTTTTAAATTGTAATTATAGCATAAATCTTGAAGTTCATTTGTGATATAACCTCTTTTTAATGTGTTTATGTTAAAGTCACCAGCCAATACTAAACGTACTCTAGATTTGTATTTCATAGTTAAATCATGTAAAAGATTATTTAGTTTAGATCGGATTTGGGTCGGATCTGATTGGGGTGTTCTGTAGAGACAAACAGTTATTAATTTAATACACGTTAGTTCTATGCCGCAAACTTCAAACGTATTCTGGGACGCATATTTTTTTATAAATGTCAGTTCATTAAAAATCAATCCTTTTTTAACTAAGATGCAAGTTCCCCCTCTTTGCTTTTCTCTGCAGAAATTAGCTGCCATTACATAACCGCTTATTCTTAAAAGATTCTCATAACCTTTTTTTATAAAAGTTTCCGAAAGACATATGACATCCGGATTATTGCTTCTATCCCATAACTCATGTATAGTGATTTCTATTAAATCTTGTTTCAACAAAGCACTGGCAATATTTTGATGTAAAATTTTAAAATTATGTGCAGTAGTAATTTGGTTTTTATGGTCGAAAAAATGTATTATTCTTTTTTAATACGGTAAAATAATATGGTATAGTTCCTCTTTTAAAAATTTCAACTGGTTTTGTGTACTTTTCAGTTTGTTTTTTAAAGTAAAAGGGGATTGTACCTTTTTTGGGTTCATTTAAGATTTTAAAACTTGACTTATTACTTGTATGTATATGTTTACTGATTTCGATAGTGTTTAAGTATTTTTTTGCGTAATCATTACAGTCAACAACATAATTAATTAGTTTATAAATTTCCGAACGATTTGAGTTTTTACAATCCAAAAAATGACAATTTTTATATTTCTTACATATATTCCTCATAAGATAATTTAATTTGTTAACGTTTATATACATATTTTCAATAACATTTAGCACAATTATCGTATTATTACTAAAGGTGTCTAGTATAAATTGTAGTTGTGATAGAAATAGCCTTATATTATAATCATTTTCTCCTATACAAATAATGAGTTTATCATCTGGTTTTAGTGTCATGTTTTGGCAGTTTTTTATTATTTCGTAGCTTGGTGCATATGGCTTCGTTTGAGCAGTAACTTAATAGTTTTCGTATTGAGTCATGTGTCTTGAATGTGATATAGCTGCAGCCAGGCCGACGCATTGTTGGGAACCGATAATGTGAATTTTTTTTACGGGGTCGGGTTTATGTTGTACAGTGATGGGATATGAGGTCTTATTCAGTTTTTTTATCGAGTTTTTAAGGTACATTTTTTGTGTCAGATTCTTTATTTTTTCCGTAAGACCTGTGATCTCTTTTTCTGCTTCCTTAAGTTGTTTTTGCAAGTCGCTAATTTTTCGTTGCAGGCACAATATTACTGTGTTAGTATGAGAATTGACGTGTGACTTGATTGTTGGTGAAGATGGTACAGAGGACACGCTAGGAATTAATAAGGAGTTTCTTTTTTTCTTATTTTTATTAAAAATTCCAGGACTACCTTCTATTGCTGTAGGAGAATGGCAGAGTGATTATAAAATTTTATTTTCCGATGTTAATTTATGTATTTGTCTGTGCAGATCATTATTTACTAATATCAAATTTTCTAATTCATTTTGAGTACTTTCAAGTGTACAGGTTAACTGAGATACCGTTATTTTCATATCTGAGATTGATGTTATGTCAGTAACGGTCCCGTCTACACTTTTCGACAGTTTACTAGGCGTGGTAAATGACTCATCTGTTATATTGTAATCGGTAAGTATGTGAGAATCCAGCACGTAAGAAGTATTCTGGTCCGATAACTGTGATGATTCAAAACATTGTAAGTTCTCTGGTGGTTTTTCTGGTGAAGGCGAAGTACATTGTTTTGTAAGATTAGGTTTCTTTCTCGTTGTGATATTATGCATGTCGCTGTTGATGTCTTTTTTATTTTTAATACACATTTTACATCGCCACTTCTTTTTTGCTGCCTGATCCAATAGGCGGTATGTTTTTTCCGGATATCCATCACATTCTAATTCATACCTGTTTTTACATATTGAACATAACGCAGTTTGTTTTTTGTCAACTATGTTTTTGCATTTGTAACATGTTACTATTGCCGGCATCTTGTGGCCGCTATTGGTAGTTTTCGCGTTGATTTTAGACGTCATACTGTGAATTTACGTACTTAAATGTTAATTATACTAAGCACAAAGAATTTTCTCTGTCCTTCAAAAGATGTCGCTGTTATTGATATGTATCTGTATCTGTGTGATAACTGTATCTTCAAAATTTAAATTAACGGTTCTATATAATATTTATGTTCGATGTTTTTCCAATAAGATTTGTTTAGTTAATGAATTGATAAATTGAAATGTTTAATTGTTACTTCAATAAGAATTAACTTAGTACACCCTCCAATGAATGTATAAATGTGTTTTCTATTATTTTGCACTACTTTTTTACACTTCACTTTTAATCGTTTGTTACTTTTGTTAGGTTTAAATTTTTTCACTGATAACAGTATATAGTTTATATCAACACTAACTATTCACAACTATTACACGAATTAGGCTATTATCACTGTAAAACTATTTTTTTAACTGTTTTAAACACGAGCTCGATGTTTACCGTGTCACTAGCGACACCTGTCAGAACATGGCAAAGTAACCGTAAATACATGATATCACAAGTGTAGTAACTTTGCCAAGTTAGTTTTATAGATTAACGTTAAGACCAATATGTTAAAAGGGGTATTGCATTTGATAGCCATATTAATATTACGTTACTACAAAGATATAGATACCTACATTCAGTATTTAAAACAAAAAAAAAAAACAAATTTCTGGAGCACTGAACAAAGAGGTTATTTCGCCGGCATAATTCCGCGTTAAAATAAAATGGCAAAATTAACTCTCATGTTGCCATATCGAAAGCAATGCTGACAATTAGTTATTTTATTTTATCCAAAAAAGGGCTTATCTCGAAAATCTTTGCGTTTTCCGTGTTAATCGTAATTTTATACCAGTACATCCCTGATGGTAAAGTTAACATTTATTAGTAAAGTTGCCAGACCTGACTGTTAGGGTGACAAATGAGAACACAGTCCACCTGGTAGGTGGACGCCGTGGCCCATAGACATTTACATTTGTCTTCGATTAAGAATCAAAATGTCGATGCGTTGTTACCACTGAGTACTAAGTTGGAATCCAGTAAAAAGGGTATCCGGTTCTTTACACTCATCATACGTACTATACAACAGCATTTAGCTGCTGCTCCTAAGACGATCGAGTCAACCCATACATGCTACAATCATAATATAGCTGTAGTGTTGCTCTACAATTATATCTATAAAATTAAAATCTATAAATTATTCAATATTTTATTATTTTTTAATAGCTGGTACCGGTCGCGTTGCAGTCGTAGAAGAAATAATTGTGAAAATATAATTTTAAACTTGGGAGAGTTATATTGTTTAACTAGGTGTTCCCGCGATTTCGACCGCGGTAATTTAGGGTTTTAATTTGTTGCGTGGAACTCTAATTATTTTTCTAAAATATAAGTAGCCTAAGTTACTCCTTATATCATCAACTACCTGCGAGTAAAAGTCTCGACAAAATCGGTTCAGTCATCTCGGAGATTAGCCGGAACAAACAGACAGAAAGGCAGATAAAAATGTTAAAAAAAGTTTTTTTGATATAAATACCGTATATAATTTCTGTATTATGCCTAAGACATTCGCGCAAGTGCACAACAAATATTAATTTTTATATATTAGATTAATTATATTCCTAATGTAATTGTAATTGTATTCCTAATGAAATACTGCGTCTGCTGCGATTGTTTCATAATTGTCAAAATTCAAACTTAAAGATAATTTCTACTATATCTTTATGAGTAAATATGTATATTGTTTTTAATTTTAAGTTTTAACGACTTTGTTACTTGTACTTTGTACTGTATGTAAATCAAGAACATATATGTTTATATGTGAAACATAAATATATGTTTTATACGTGATATGTGATGATAAAATGTTTACTAGCTTCCTACTATGAAGAATGTCCTTGTCCAACAAATATATTACTTACGATTATGTAACATGCACTTTTTATTAAATACATCAAGCATGTTATGATATTAATAAAAAAATGTTTTATTGTATAAAAAATTAAAATTGTGAAGTTTTATTTCTCAATCTATACTTATTATTTCTGCAGACATTACTTAACAATTTAATATAATAATAGGTAAATAATAGCAATAAAATTTATTATATCAAAACTCAAGAGTCCAATTATTAATAATAATACAATCAACAAGAACTGTCATTCGGATTCACGATCTTACGTTTCGTTGGATTTTTAGAAGCCATTGTTAGTTATAAAGAAAGTTTTTGCATCAGAATAAGTCTCAATATTATATCTGTATATACAGTTTGGTTCTCTTTTTTTACAGATAAAATTAGTTTGTACAAAGCCACTTCCCACCAAGGATTTTTATGACGGTGATTTTTTATTTCACAGAAAAGCTTTTGTATTATTATAATTACAGTCCAAGGCGTGCAGTGCAGTTAATTTATACAATGCATTGAATAGAAAACTCAAACATTAAAATATTTGTAACTTGTCATAATAAACTGCATAATTTTCGCAAAAATAAAGCTATTTTGCTTAAGGGGCCGGTCCTTAAGAAACGCGCAAATAGGCAGTTATGGTTTTAAAAATATTAAAGAACTGCCTTCATTGAATGACACCACAAAAAACCTCAATTAGTTAATAGATGGGTCTACACTTTCACCGTCTGATATTTATAAAAAACATCTTGATTTTCGAGAAAAAAAAATCTTCAACAATGGTAAAAACACTTAAAACGGCATTTTCTATTTTAAATCTCTGGGCCATTTCGTAATTATTTTAGAAAATGTTTTTGGTTAAAACGTGAGTTAAAAGTATAGACAACACATTCACCGTTCATTATTTTTACTAATTCAAACCAAAAAGCAACAATCTAAGACTAAATATCATTCATTTTTTTAACAGAAATCGTCCATACATTTTAGTATGAAACGGTTAGGTTTCCGTAAGTCGCTTTATATTAGAGAACACGCGTGAAAAAAAATTCAGATCCGCCTCAATTTTCGAGGTGAGTGCACGTCCGTTTGTGGCCCGATTTGACAAGTCGAGTCAATACATCTATTGTTTAACACAGCATAAGAGTGGGTCGCGAGTGTCGGACAACATTATTTTTATTATTTGTATTCTTCGAGTAAACAGACTAACTAGGTATGTGAGTTTTATTATGTATTGTTTTTTGTAATTATCAGAAATTAATGTACTTAATAAAATAGTAATTTACTTTAATATCTATTTCAGGTAGATAATATGGGAAAACGCAATGTAAGTTATTAGAATAAAAAATCTAATTAATAATGTAAGCATATGAAGTGAACCACTCGGAAACTCGCTAAGCAAGAAGTCTTTTTCAGGACTTGACTCAACCACCGGTGCAGTAGGGACACATGATCTGGACCTTAAGAGAATTGTTGATCAATGGGTTACCCTGTGTGGAGTCCACCCATTGCGATATCATTTCAGACTTTCTGGAATAGTTCTGTCCTGATTGCCTCGTCCGGTTCTTTGTTGAGATTACCATCCGATTACGATGACGTTTAGGTTATTTTAGTAATATCTTATGCCGAGGTTATTATTGCAGCAGTTAAATTTAGATTGATAACTAATATTTATAATATAGAAGTTATATAGTCAGTTAGGCTGTGTTCCAATGTTATAGCTTTTCATTAGTGGTGACAAAATACAATACATAACAATAACTTTGTGGTTCCCTTTAAGTGAGTTATCAAAATCAGTATTCAAACGTTTATAAATAATTTTACTTCAAAATCAACATAAAAATAATCAAATTAATTTTAAAAAAATACTTGTAAATTGTATGTGGATTAATTACATCTTATAAAACACAAAAACCTTAATTTACATAGGTATTTTTTATCGGTCATTGATAAACAACCTTTTGTTTTTAAATCTTTTAATGACAATTGAATTGTGACAAAATTTTATGTTTATTAAACTTTTCATGTATTTAAATATGTAATTAATGAAAAACTACGGGCTCAAAATAAGTCAGTTGGCGTATACTAGACGACACTTTTGCGATCATTTGAAGTGCGTGTAAATTTTGGGGATTTTCTTATACTAAAGTCCTACGATGACGAGCGGGTAGCGGGTTTGAGTTTGAGGAGCGTGCGAAACGCGGCTTATTTTATAGTAATTTTATTTTGTTTATTACGTTATTTTAATGTGGATCTATTTAAAAATAATTTCTGTCACATATTCCTTATCGAATAAAGTTTCAAATGAAAGATGATACATTTCTCCTACAAATAGTTGCAAGTTTGAAATTAATCACGACATTTTTTACTTGAAACAACCTTTTTTTTAAATATTTTTTCCAAATCTATAATTAGTAATAATGTGGTTTACAACATAAGTATCCAATAAAAATGTGTATTGACGGTGAAAGAATATTAACCACTCCAAATATTTTTTTATAAGATAAGGGTGACAAACCAGCACACAGTCCACCTGATGGTAAGTGGTTGCTGTGGCCCATAGACATCTACATCTATCTTCGATTAAGAATCAAAATACAGATGCGTTGTCACCCGTGAGGACTAAGAGGGAATGCCTCGTTTCCAGTAAAAAGGGTCTCCGGTTCTCTACACTCACCATACAAAACACAGCAGCGTTAAGCTGCTATTTTACGCTGGTATTCTGTGAGAGCGTGTTCCTCCCCGGTCGAGCCGACCCATTCGTGCTGCAACCATAATATAGCTGCAGCATGGCTCTCTCACGTATAAATCTCGTCTAATCTCGTGGGTGTAGTAAAAGGTAGATGGAAATCAGGAGATGGGTAACGACATCTTCCTAACATCAACTAGTTCCAAGGAAAAATGCGGTTGTCAACCCGCCTGGCAAAATTGGAAACTATGAAAAATACTCCCTTATGAGGTTTTCTGTTGGATAGGTTTATGTCCAGTAGTTGCCTTTGATAGATCGTAATGAATGAATAAACAATGTATATTTGATCTCAACATAATTTTAGAAACTGTTAGAACACTTCAAAACATCGTCATCTACGTAGAGGAACT